CACACACACACACACAGATTCGGCATTGTCAGCTGGTCCTCGCCACAGTGAACCGATGAGCGGGAGGCAGGGGGATCGGCTGCAAGGGAGCAGGAGATGGTGGAGTGGTAGTGGGAGGAGGAAAGGGGGGATTTCACTTGAAGGGGGCTGTGCTCAGTTTAATACTATTGCTCACCATTGAGGTCAAATCCCACTTTGGTCTGTAGCACAAACATATCGACACTCAGACCAGAACGCTAAATGAGACATGTCCTGAACTATGTTACGAGTGCGATGTGTTTTACCTGCCGTGTTGTATAATAAACTCGCTCTCGCCATGAAAAAACAGACTGGAGAGGAAACACTGACAGAGAATGACGCTTGTAGGAAAAAAAAAATAAATCCCAGGGTCTGACTGACCCTGCCAGAAAGCTGGCGGTCCTTCAGAGTGCAGGGTTCAGGCCAACATTGTACACATTACAGGCTGGCAACAGTGCAACACATAGCAGCCAGCCAGGGGGAGGGAGAGAGGGAGGAGGGAGGGAGGAGGAGGAGGGGGGCAACAACAGTGAGAGCTTGGTTTGTCTTTCAAAACAATGTGAGCATCGAGATCCTATCTGTCCACTGGCTGAGAACTAGGCAAAGAAAATCTTTTCCATTGACCCCAATAAGACATTTCATGTGGAAAAAAACAGCTGCAGCGTCTGCCAGTGAGGATGCTTTAAATAAACCACTCTGGCTCTTATCAGCGGTCATTCAGTATTACTTTCAGAGTAACATTTAGTCCAATTCAAAAGGGGGTGGAAGTGGTGTAAAGCCATGAGAACACTTACAGCGGGCAGAGTTGATCTTCCAGGTTTGACTTTCTAAACAGTATGTATGAAAAGGTCCACCACATCTTTACTTCACTGGCAAACACAAACACAAAATGCTAAATCCTTGAGGCAAATAACCGTCTGTCCATTTAGTTCAATCATTCTACTTTTTATAATATTGTGGAAAGAAGAAAAATTAAAACACACGTAAGATACAAACACTAACAAACAACCCAACTCTGTGGTGACACACAAGCTTTATACCCGGACATATTTGAATAAAATAATCATCCAATTTCTCACTTTGTAGCCCGTTGCTGGGAGACCTGCATCGACACTAATAAAATAGCTTCATTCATCGCGATCCTGTGAGTCTGAATGCAAGCCACAAGTAAAGCAGGAAGGTGGGGACATGCATTAAGGATAAGCAGGAGCATTGATCCCTGTAAGAAGGTAAGAGCATGATTTCACAACGCAGCTTACCGGGAGGCTTTTAAAACCGTATTTCTTGTAACACAATGCCACCAACTGTATGCAAACACAAGCAAACGCACACATACCATTTAGAGCTCTCTGAGACTATCAAAATTAAAATTAAAAAAAAAAAACCAGTAGGCGAGAGAAGAAGGGGGAAAATTCATGTTGGTTGTGGTTTTAGCAGCAGCAACTATAGATTTACTATATTATAGATTTAAAACCATTGCAATCAGATGCAGGGCAACTTGACCTGAAGGTCCACCCAGGCAGTGAGTGGGTTAACAAGCTGTAGTTGAGACTTAAAAAACCCAGTGTGGAGCCCAAACAGCCACCAGTATGTGGTGTTAAAATCCCACTGACTCGAGGATGGCAGCAGAGGGAAAGACTGAAACTCTTGACCTGCCCACCCAGGTGGAGAGAGGGAGGAGAGGAGGGAGGAGAGGAGGGAGGGATGGATGAAGGGGGTAGAGAAGTGTGACGGAGCCGGGCCTGAACACAGACGGGCTGCTCGCTTAGTTAATTTTCTCTGCAGCTGCGAGCGGACTGAAGAGGAGAAACACGAGGAGGAGACAGAAGAAAGAGAGGCCAATATCAGCTTTCTCTTTTAGGTTTCCTGGGATCATTCACACGTTTATATATAAATAAAAAAGGGACAGACAACTCTCACTCTGCCTCCACTACTGGGAAGGAGTTTTAGCTTCAAAACACAGCAGCTCAAACAAGATCGCTGCCCGCCACAAAGCGCACACGTACAGTTGTTGCAACATGCCGCCGCTGAACGCTGAATTAACAGCCTCCGCGGTCAAAAGGTGAACCAGTCTGAACAGCTCATCTGAGCGGTGGACATACAGTGCCGCCAGTTTCCTGCTACGGAAGCAAAAAAGGACTCGTGAAGGGGAATACAGAATACAGAGCGCAAGGTCACCATCTTCTTTCTATGAACATCTTTCTTGGGTTGTGAGCTAAAAAAACTGCCTTGAAGAGAGAGCAGGAATGAGAGTGAACGCGCCCGTCCCCGTGGAAAATGACAGCAAGGCGAAGTAAACCAGGTCAATGCAAAGACCCTGAACAGAACAAATCATTCTGTTCTCCCTGTACACCTCTTTCACTTCTCTACAGACTTTATCCTCACCCACATCCCACCACACACTCACTGAACGACAAGGAAAAGGGTACACACACACACACACACACACACACACAGACACACAGACACACACAGACACACACACAGACACAGGTCCCAGAGATGATCATGTTCATACCCAACAGGCCCCTGCCTCATTAACTGAACTGAGGGGGAGGGTGTTGAAAAGAAGGAAAAGGATCAAAAACTGAAGTTATGTTACAATCCTGACACTTCGGTGATCGAAGCACATGAAAACATTTCAATAAAACAGCTGAGTGCAGCTCTGAGCTTTAGAGGAATGATTACGGCACCGGTGGCCCAAACAGGAAGAGAGAAATGGCCAGGGCTTCAGGGGACGGTTGTAACGGTCTACTGGGGCCTCACACTCACCTCCATTAACAGCAGGCTCTCCTTTCAAAGGGGCACCACTGCAAGGAAGGGCTCTGCCTGCTCTTGATCTGGCTGTTTCTGTATTCCCTCTTCTTTTCTCCCCCCCCCTCTCCCCTGCTCTCGTTTTCTCTGTGACACAGCCAGAGGGGGGGAAACATGACTCCGGCTCGGCCCAGCTGAGCCCTCTGCAGCCGGGTTGAGTCCTCTCGCCTGTCCCCTCCCCTCCGCTGCTACTGCGAGGCTAAAATGGAGCCGGTACAAACTATGCAGCATGCGCCCCGAGGAGGAAGGAAGGGAGGAAGGAAGGCACAAACACAGAGGCAACTGCTCGACAGAACTGGGTGTCTGTCTCTTTTAGCTTCAGACGCTCGGCTGACAGACAGGCCCGGGCCAAAACCAAAGGGCAACACCCGTCTGTTTCAAGTAGTCTGCCAGTGTTTAGTAACCGCTTTACTGAAATATGAAAAGATGTTCACAGTATATTTTTGTGTTGCGAAGACCCGGTTCACATCATAATTACATGCAATACGAAGATGACGATTACAGCTGCCAGGTGCTGACACAGCAGCACTTCAAACACCGTCACCCAGCCATTTGTTTTCCTCCCACAGAGCCCAGATCGTCGTCCCCAGCTGTGCAGCTCTGTCACTACGCACACAGCATAGTTTCTGTTATACATCACCGTGACGAGCGTTGCTGTGAAACACAACCAGATGACCTCATAGTTGTGGATCTAGAGTACCTTTTTCTGCTGTGACACGCAGCGGAGCAGGAAGAGGTCATATCGGCCAAATGGGCCAAATGTGAACCGACAGTCTCTGAAGCCGCGGAAAAAAAGCAATGTCATAGTTCTCGAGTGGAGTTTGTGAAGCGGCTTTAAGTCTTTATGGCCGTCCTCGTTTTATTAAACCAATGAGCGGATCGACAAGGCGAGCACAGACGAGTTAAATGTGGTGGGTTTTGTGTTTTATGTTACTCCGCCATACAGATGTGTTGATGATGAGATGAGTTAAACTGAAGGCTGAATAACCTAATTTAAAATATAATCTCTTTTATTACCTTGTTAGATATTAAACTAGTACTAAGAGCTAAACTAAACGAGAGCTTCATATATACTGAACTTAATGCCATGTAAGGTAAGAGCCTATTGGCTAAGCCTGTTAGGGGCCCCCTTGAAAGTACAGTAATTACTTTCGGCTTGTTGAGGAGGGAGTTCACTGGATCAAAATAACAGTCATGGATTAGGTCAGTAAAAAGAAGAAAAGTGACTCCCTAGATTTTTTATTATTCTTTCATTTTGAGATTTCAATGCAGATAAATTGTATCAAGTATCAGACAAAACTCACAGATTCTGAGATTGGAAACAGAAACCAGTAGCTCCTTAGCAAATAAGATTTTTTTGAGGAGACCCAAACATCTAAATAAACAATCGTGGTAGAAAGGGACTGTGCTTGGCATAATTTTGCTGAATACTCGGATTCAGTCAATTGATGTCATAAAAACACTGAAGGCTCACTTCCTGATTTCTGTAAGAGTGGCTCGGGGTCAAGAAACTCCGAGGAGAGATGACCGAGATGTTCAAGAGAAAGGATAAAGAGCGGAGAAAACCTACAGCCACGAGCCAGATCTACTAGAAAATACACCCAGACAGAAAATGACTAGCACAAACTGACGATCAACATACAGTAAATCATAAACTTGGCTTGTCTATTTATTTCAATTGTGCAGTCGCATTAAAACAAGATTTAAAAGACATTTTTAAACACTTAAGTCTCAGATTAAATTGTATCTGACTTAATAAAGTAGACAGTTTGAACGTCAGTCACTGTACCGACGTTCAAACTGAACCTTTACATAACAACAACACACAGTAAGTCACTGTCCAAACATCCCTGTGAGTCTGTACTGAGGGTCCCAGGACCACCGCCGGCTGCGGGGCTGACTGGCCCTCTGCCAGTAATCATCAGACACTCAGACCCTGGAGGGATACTTCACATGACAAAGCAGAAGGCATTCAACACAAAGGACTGTAAGCATGAAAATGTCTCCGAACCGATCCAACCGGTGAATGAACGTCAGCATCAGGGCCTATCGTGAGTCCTACGGGTCAGCGGTCAATCTGTTACGATAAGAGACGGCGTTTACTTGTGTACAGATCTCTGATGTAGTCTGAATGACAGTTCAGTATGTCTCAGTCCAGTGTGCCTGCAGTCATAATGTATCTGTCATGGTGTGACTCTCTGGGAGCAACACCCATGTGAAACAAACACCTGACTCAGCCAGGTTTCATGTGACGTCGTTACCCGCCCTGTTTCGGATGAACGGGCAGCATGTCATAACTGCTTGGCTGTTTGAGGTAACCTGGTCAGAACAGAACAGGGTGGGATTTCTTTGTTTTTCTCTGTCAGAATATGGCAAACGGGTTGGATGGAAACCCAGCACAGAACAATGAGTCACAACCAGGCGGTGGATTTCACAGCCAGGCTGAGCATTCCTGGCCCGACAAAGGAATCCTGTACACAGCACCCACACAGATACTCTGAACGCCGTCTACGGTGGCCCCCCCGTGGCTTGTGTTCGCAGGCTTGAAAAAAAAAAAAGCACAGAGGCCGAAATGAACAAGCTTCTCAAGAACTGGAATCACAAAACGCGGTACGGTTGAAGTGGTAGTTGACAAACGAGAGAGAGCAGTTGCAATATTTGCACACGGTGGGAGCCTCCACTGATACATTATGGTTTAGTTGTGATATGGGAACAAATATGGCTAATGTGGGACTATTATGAGCACATGACAAAAAGCCCTTGTAGAGACACCGTGTACAATTTGTATGTTGTTTTTGTTCGCCACTCTAAGACAAATGTTCTTTCAGGGGCCTGACCTATATTATGATTTTTTCCCCTCAGACAGACAGCGACTGTTATACCACCTTAATAAAAGCTCATTATTTTTTGTTTGATGTCCAATAAAATAACTATCTAGGGCACGTCTGAAGCAGCACTAACAGGGTTTTATTTGCCAGACACTAAAGTAAACTGGGTGCGCAACAATCCCTCCAGTGTTTTGCAATATGTGAAGTTTACTTTCACACACACATTTAGTTATAAGACAACAGCAGGCTCTCTCTCTGCTATGGCAATGTTATTCTAGATTTACAATCATTGTGCAACATGTACCTCATTGAAGTCAAATTCTACTCATTTTCACTCAGTAGATTGTCATTGTTTTTTGGCTGCTGAGTAAAGCAAACCACTTGTATATTTTACCAACATTTGACTTGTAAAAGGTGTTAACTGTGTGCGCTGTTTACAATGAAGGTGTGGAGCTGTAGTGAGTCTAAAATCCGGTACTGTAGCTCCAACTTTTAGGACACAAGTACCAACAACCAGTCATTAACAAGTCAAGGGTCACAGCCATGAAAATAAACATAGGGCTGACATTCCTGTTCCTCTAAAAAACAACAACTCACAATTAAACAATAAGTGCAAGAGTAGTTTTAAACCCAGATCATTCAGCAGCTAATAACACAATGGAGGCTCTGTCGACCCTCTTTGTCAATGACAGATATAACTAAAAAACAGGAACAACATAGACGAGAAACCAACACATCTTCACTCTCAAGGGAGGAAGTATGCTGGAAAAACAAATTACGTGATACAAACAGACTGTATCTGTCTACATTTTCAAAAGCAAGGTTGGCAACCCAGGGCTGGGGATTTATAACGATAAACCACAATAAAAGACGGAAAGAGAAAGGCAATGATTGAATCAGTTGGATAATGAGTTAGGCTAATCACAGCACTGTTAAAGCTTGAGGCGGTCACACTAACAACCTTTTGTTTCCACGCTAAAGTAAAACTGTCAAACGTGATCTTGTGCCGACTGTCACCATAAAGGGACCTCGATTAATCTCGATTTTAGCCACATGGAGAGGGAAAAAAAAAAAAAAGTTTAGATGTCGAGGAGCTGGTAACAGTAACATTTAATAACCCCCTGAATGAATGCAGTTAAAGTTGAACAAAAGAAGCTTTATATAAATATAAATATATATCACAGTAACGTTGAAGTGAGGGAACAACTGCCAATTTAATTAACAGAAGTTGTGAACTGTTACCTGCGGCTGGTGGCGGAGGTGAACCGCTGTGCTGTCCTCTAGCAGTAAATTACATAAATGTGGGTTAAATCTACCAGCTGAAGAACAATAGATCGACTGCTAGCTAACATTAGCTACTCACCTTAAAATACCCCCCCTCGTAGTGAGTGTTTGGGGGTCCGAATATCGCCACTTCCCAGTTGTACATGTCCGACTCGTCCACCAAAGTTATCTTGAACCCCTCGACTGGCTCATCTTGGAGACTTTTCATCTCCAGCATTAGTGCTTTTTGGGAACTGGCTACATGATGTCCATGCTGAGCCATATTCCACAACGTTTTTTTTTTTTTTTTTT